GTAAGGCAATTTGTTACTTTCCCCCCACAAAATTAAGGAAAGGAACAGTCACTCCCAAACTATTAATTTATATGAATGTGTATAACCATCCTACTTCTACAAACATTTAAAGTGCCTTAAAATCAGTGACAAGAACAAATTAGCAGCAGATGTATTAATTAAAACCACAGAGGTAGAAAAGAACCAAAGATCTCCATTGGGCAAAAAGTGTTTTGCAGGAAAGCTGCTACAAAAGTATGAAAAAAAGACTTTGTCACAGCTGCTACAAAACTATGTCACTTCCAGATATTTTAGCTTCTAATCTGTTGAATTATATTGCTTATACTTAGCCTCTTTGGAATCTCTCTCTCCCACCTCTCTCTCTTCCTCTCCCTCCCACCCATACACACACTTTACCTCCTATCAATTTAAAATATCTCCTGAAATCTACAGATCCTACATTCTGGCTTTCATTTTCAGGTATCACATTTTCTACATGTGATACATATTGGTTCTTCTTTATATATCCCCACTCGCTAACCCCACCACCCCCTTCAGCAATAACTCTAATTCTAATTTCTCCCCATCCTTCAGATCTTTCCCCAACATTGGCACTTGATTTCATCCCCAAGTGTTCTTGTCTGTCAAATTAGACTCCCATCTCCTCTTCTCCGCACCAAAGCAGCAAGGCAAAACAGTATTTCCAACAACTCCGGTATCTGGCTGTTCCCAAGGCAGCAGCTTAGTAGAGGATTATAGTAACAGTAATAATCTAGACAAGGCAAATCATTGTTTATGTGGGAAACAAACAATGCATACAAATTCACACACTTCCTTTAAATAAAAGTAAATATCCAGTAAGAATGTACATAAATGTTTTATTTATGGTGTTACAGTGGGACTGCATTTTATGCAAAATTCTGTTTGGTGAAACCAAATTTGTAGTAAATTAACAATAACAATCCCCAAACAATATCCACAAACAGCACTTCATCAATATTTTTATCTTATAATTAAAGCTAAAACTTTAAAACATACATACATATTAGCAAATGCTGTTACTTTCTAACATGCATGCTTGGCTCTTGCAGATATATTCCATTTGAACATAAAAAATGCAAATGCATCTAAAACCGAAAAAGTACAAAAAATGTCTAACACATCAATGGCTTAAAATGGGAAAGGGGGAGGTGTTGTGCTAAAAGCAACAAAAGAGCAATTAAATTAAATTGTCAACCAATACCAACTCCATTTTGTACTACTAACCAGAGACCTATGTTAAGTCTTGACACTGGTGACTTTGGTACCATTAAAGAAACCCTACTTGTAAATGAACATACCTCCTGCAAAGCAGTAGATAGTTTAGATATAAGAAAAATAACATGGAATAGAATCCAAGAAACTGCAAGGCACTGTTAGTGTGTGTACTGCAAGACTTGTATCATCTTCACTCCCTTCCTCATCCCACCACTATAACTTTCTCCTAAGATCCACTCCAAAAAAATCAGAGAACTCTTCAGAGCACTTCCAGAATAATTCAGGAAGCTATAGCCAGAGAGGAGAAAATCCAAAAAGCAGGCTAGGGCAACACAAATGCACACACCCCCTTTGGATCTTGACATACTGATTGCAATCAAGACAACCCATTTAAGTACAACTAAGAAACTGCATATACCCAGCAGTAAAAGGGATTAATACATGTGCAAACCACTTTATGAATTCTCATCAAGGTTGAAACAGCTTGTTTAGGGTTAGATTGATATGTTTAAAAAGGAAAAAAGTTAAAAGGCATGTTGGGCATGTTACACAGTCGTCCAGATAATAGCCTTACGATACGAATCATATTCACCGAGCTACATTGTACTTTAGGGAGGGAGTATTCTAAAAAGCTCACTTAAAGAGAGAACAAAACAAACAATACCAAAGAGTATTCCAAACTGCTTTCTTACATGTTGATGAAGAAGAAGAATTCCATTTTCTACCAAATTATTCTGAAAAATGCTAACATTTTTTAAAACTGGCCTATAAAAGACAGCAAGATGAATTTCTATATATAAATATTGATTTAGAATAAATAAATATTGTATAGGGGTCTCCAGCTATTTTTTAAAGTATAGATTGCTTCACATACCACATATAATATTAAAATAAGGGGGAAATTCCTTTTTAGAGTTCTTGGTGGTATGTGGTATCAAGTTTCTTTCTAATAATTGTGTTTCTCTCTGCACAGCAACAGTTGATATCAATATAACTTGAGAACATGCCATCATTCTATTTGTCATTTTACATACAGTGCATATGATGCTCGCTCTTTCCATCTCTCATAGCAGCAAGCAGATTCTGCTACTATCCATAGCAGCACACCCAGGAGTGGAGAGGAAGAGTGTCAGATTTATAAATAGCTAAAACCTATAGTATACAGTATACAATTCTATAGTATTCAATTCTATTTACCTGTCAGTATTTAGGTTGACAGCACACCATTATGTTCTACAAGAAATTCACTAAAAAAAAATAGCTACAACAAGAACAAAACCAAGACATTCCTTCAAATAGGACAAAAATAAGTGCAAGTGTCTAAAGCAAGTAAACTTAAGCAACTGCCATAACCTGTGAAGATTAAAAGCATGAACAACTTTTAAATAAAAAAAAAAAGACTATTTTGCTTTTTAAGCAGTTTTGTAACTATGTTGTTAGGGCTCCCAAGAGCAACTATAAATTATTTTAGAAGCAATTCCAAATTTCAGAACAAGCAGTCATAGCCCCTCTTTAGTTATGTATATGCCTAGGTATGGGGAAAATGTTGAAGTAAGCGGAGCTACATAGAGACAGGCCAAGAGCATGTGCCACAACTATGGTAGCAATTCATCAAGCATGATCACAAAGGCAACTGCAACAGTTACCTACCTATAGGTCAGTTAACTCAAATTCTCCCCATACTAAAACAGACCCAAATGTAACAGGGCCCATGGCTGCTTGTGTCAAGAAAAGTGGCTAAGTGAACCAGTTTTTTTCTCTCACACATTTGTAATAAAATGCATTGGAATTCATGCCTTCATTAAAGCCACAAGAAGCTAAATTGTGTCTTATCACATTCTGTCTCTTCATAAAGGTTTATCCCTTTAATATCCAATTTCTGGAGTATCTGAAATTAAAGTCAGGTGGATTTTAAAATGACTATGTAAACCTACATGATTGAAAAGGGAATAGTGCAATCTTTAAATAGATGAAATGCAAATTTATGTACTTCACAGATTGTAATATTGCTGTATTCCAATGCACCAAGTTAACTTTTTCTTCTTCTCATTTCAACTGGAACTATTTTCTTACAAGCTTCTAAGAGACTATATGTGTTTGTGTGTATATATACAAAGAGGCTGAAATTTTGCTTATGGTTTGTGTCCACATAAAACTATTTCAGGTGCTGATATTTGCAGAGCAACCCTAACAATTCAAGCATCCTGCCACAAAATGTATTCCTCCACTACTATCGTTCAGCGAAGGTGCTCATTCTTTCTCCTTTCTCCTTTCTTTTTTCTTTTTCTTTTTCACAATGACATCTACACTAGCCTGGAAGAATAGCCCAAGTCCAGAGGAAGTTCTCCTCTTTGAGATGTGTTCTAGATACATCTTTAAAAAATACCATTGCTCCATCAGCTAGCTCATGTATCACAACCTCTTCCATTATCTTTATGTGAATTGCCATGCATTTGTGGGAACAAGGAGCAAGATAGAGCATGCTATGAAAGGCCAGCTCACTTGAGGTTCCTCCCCAGTTTTTCAGATTATTTACTTCTGCCATGAAGATTCTACCACCTTCCCAAAACTATTATCATGTTGTTGGGTTTTATTATTTCCCACTGCCTAATGCCATTTATAGAATCGAGAGCCACCAACAGCTTGTTCCTGGATTCCCTACTATTTCCCTCAATATTTATGGAATAGCAACACCCACTCAGCACTGTCAGAAGGCATAATCTGAGAATAAGCCATTAAAGAAAGCAATCATTCACTTCCCATCTCAATGACATAAAGAAAACCTTTTTTTCTATCCTTCATGGTGGTGTTCAGCCAGAGTTAATCTGTTTGTTTTGTCCTGATCTTCCAAAACCATTTTTTTTTCCTTACTGCCTTTGACAGGTATATTTTGCAAAGATCCATCAAACTGAATACAGTGCATAGGATCCCAAAGCCTTAAAAGCCAAAGGATATAGGCCTTAAATAGGGGGCAGCATCAGATTTCTGTACCAAGCAACCTAGTTAAGACTGGCAGTGAAAAGCAAAGTGTAATGGTATATGGATGACAGGAAGGCAAAAGGGGAATACAATTAATCTCCAAATGAACCAGACTGAGCTGACCCTGATATATTGCTTAGGTCTGAGGCTATACTAAAGAAAGTAGAAGAGGGAGAGGCAAAATGCACATCTATATAGTTTCTGAACAGAGGGCAGTATGTTACTATTCCTCCTTTCTCTATTGCAGGCAAGAGCAAGTTTATGTTGCTTTGCAAACCAGCAGGAAATATGTGGGCACTAGATGAAATTGCAGCCTCAAGCTTTAAAATGAAACTAAATTATACACAAGCTGCCTCACAATTTACAAAAGCTATTCTGCTCCCACATGCTGTACAATACATTCAACAATAGTCTCAGTTTGAGATTAATGAATACTGACGCTTTATCCTAATAAAAATTCAGTTCATCTCTTTGTCTTCTCCTATTAGAAGTACCATTCTCAAATAAATACATTTAACACTGTAGTTAATTCTGTGCAGCATACCTTGTACAAGTAGTGCAACTGTCTATTCTTCCTTTATTCTCCTTTCTTCTGTGTTTAAAATTGCTACATAAGCAAATGACTTTAGCAAAAGCATTCTCAAAGAGTAATGTACATTTTTCTTTCATAGATTACCAAACACCTGTAAATCTACTCTACAGTAAAAGTTTCTTTAGAAGAAAAGTAGATGTATATACTAAAGAATAATTTAGAAAACTGGCTTATAGAAAAAATATTCAGTCATTCCTTTCACCATTTAGTTTAGTGGTCTTTCAAAAGACCATTTAAAATTTGTTTTAAAAAAAGGGAGGGGGGTTATTTCTATCCTTGTTATTTTTTCCAAAAAGGGGTATTACATTCCCCTTAGAAGGCAGCTTTAAACAAGTACTGCAAACACAACATTTCAGCTTAAAGTCTGTAATAAAAAGAAAAAAAAGGTAGATTGATATGTTTTTAAGACAATCACAAGATGAGAGCCCTTGAAGTGGTGCCAGAAGCTGAATAGGTGCTCAGGTACCGTCTTGCTTGCTCTGTCATAATAAGTTGATCTTCTGTCTTCCCATAAACAACAGCTTCCCATTCACAATTTGCCTGTTATACATAGTCCAGTTAATGATTACATTCAAAGAATCAAATCAACTACATTTCTTAAAGCCAAGGGCTATCATAATCAAACATTCAAATGAAAAAAAAGCAAGAACAATTCAACATTTCTTGACTTCACTGGATGATTATAAAAGACTCCCATCCTTAGTCCCAGGCTATGAACTAGAATATGGGGAAAATAATATTGGCTTCCTGACTACCCTATATAAACATGTATAAAATCATGTAAAGCACTTTGAACAGTAGGACACCAGGCTATTGGAGGCATAACACCCATGCTTAGAACCCAGTACACCTGCATGGACATGTATGTTCAGGCACTGCAAGAGACCATTAAGAAGGCCTGTGTATATCTTCCACAATCCACCCAACATTATCTAATTTACCCATAACCTAAAATTAGAGGGCAGGGGGTGGAAAAGGAGTGTGTGTGTGTCTGTATATAAAACTCCTATCCACTAAACAGGCCTCCTGCTTGACTTTGCACACATGGAAGTAAGAGCAAATGTCAAATTCTTTGCAGACTGATGCTGAACATCTCCTTGAAATGCATTAAATGAATTATACAACCAACTGAACACTCAGCAACACTGTTCTATGGATATAAGGACATTTTACTGCAAGAGCAATTCTTAACTTAAAGCATATTAGTTTTCATTAATTCTGAATCTTGAATCTGAATGAGCAAGCATTTTGCAAACACAGGATATTCCAATACCAGAATCTTTGATTTTTATACATTAACAAATAACAGAAAGATTATAATTTATAAAATAATCTTTCAGAGATAATATAGCCTAAATAGAGTCAAATATTAAGATTTCCTAAATACAGACCTGAAGAGTTTTTTCTGCTTTAACATTTTTTGAAGTGCATGTATTCAGCTTTTTTTTCAATGCTACATTCAGCTTTGTTGAATTGAAATCCTGTTTCTCTGGAGTTGTATTGTCTCTATTGTCATGTATCTCCAATAATGGTATCATTAGAAGTGACGTGGTATAGATATTCTCTGACTATATTGCAAAGGAAAATATTTAATAAAACAACCTGTATCTTGACTGGAGAATTATAAATTTATATAGTTAAAGCAGCTTAACAATAACATCCTGCAGGTTTGCATATAGAAATTCTGAGACAAAGCTTTACAAGCATTTACCATTCTTTAAAGACTAGCGTAAATGATTAAAAATAGGCTTTCATTATCAAGAGGCTTTCATTTAACTCCAAGAATTCTATCTTAAAATTCTTAAAATCCTCAGTAAAACTATTCTGGCATCATTAACATGGAACACTTTCTGGGAGCAAAGCAGGCTAGAATATAAATATAAAATGAGCTATAGGTAGTACTCATTCAGTGACTTCTCATTCAGTGGCTCATTCAGTGGCTGTTCAAAGTTATGATGGTTGCTGAATGAGAGGACTTACAATAGTTGCAGCTGTTGCAGCATCCCTGCAGTCATGTGATCATGATTTGAGTGCTTGGCAACTGGTTTGCAATTATGACGGTCGCAGCGTCCCACAGTCATGTGATCGTCATTTGCGATCTTCACTGCCAGCTTCTGACAAGCAACGTCAATGGGGAAGCTGCCAGGAGGTTGCAAATGGCAATCACGTGGCTATGGGGCACCGCAAGCGTGTGGGATTCGCCTAACAACAGCAACTGGAACTGCCGCAATCGCCGTCATAAGTCAGTGCTGTCACGTGAAATCATGCTTTATGACCGTGTCACTTAGAGATGGAGTTGTCAGTCCCAATTGTCATTGTTAAGCAAAGACTACCTGTACTACACTTGCTGAAATCAAAAAAGAAGTTAGGCTGCTGCTTATTCTTACAACAACTGATCATTATAATCAGTTTTTTTAGATGCTAAACTCATGTTTTCTTGCAGTAAAAGTTGACAGGAAAAACCCTGCTTGAAGTTCTTGAAGCTATAGCATATCCTAATCTGTTTCTATTTAATCTGAAATATTTGAATCTCTAATATCATGGTACTGACCTGCACATCTGAAACATTGTCTTCTGCAAAAAACTGGCCACCAAGTTCTTCTTTTTCCCAAGGATCCAGGACCAATGACTTCCTGACTTTCTTTACAGAAGCGTTCTATGACCAATATTTTACAGAAAAAGAAGTAATTAAAATTATTTCCATTGTTCCTGAAATTCTAGGGCTACATGAAATATAATTTACCTCTAGTTTGCACCCTTTATGGACAGACTCCTCCTCTTCCTTGAAGAATATATCTGTTCCGGTTTCCTCTTTTAAAACCTCCCGAATATCTTCTTCCAAATAGGCAAGAGGCTGTGACTAAAATTAAATGATTAAAATAGCAGAAAATAGCAAGTTCATCATTTTCTTATACTATTATTGCAATCCATTGATGTTAAGCTCACATTTTTGCACTTCCAACTTTTAATATTCTGATTAAATTCTTAAGAGCAGGTAGCTAGATTTGATAGCCTAAGTGGCCTCTTCTAACCCTATATTTCTATGTATTATATTCCATTCCTCATTAAGTAAGTAGGCAGAATTCTGGGACACAACTAAGATGTAAACTCTGAATTAGAATTGTAAATGGTGTCGTTTCAGACTATTTATGTATCATTTCAAGACAAAGATTTAGATAGAGAACCAGTACATTGTAGTGGCTAGAGTATTGTACTAGAATAGAGAAACAAAGCTTTCAGTCTCCCCTTGACCTTGGAATTCACTGGATGACTTTGGGCACTTATTATTTTTTATTTTTATTTTTTATTTATTTTCAAATTTGTATGCCCCCCATCTCCCCCAATGGGTGACTCTGGGCGGCTCACAATAATAAAAAAGAAGAAAAAACAC